TTTGTTGTTCAGTTTCCAGTTTTTGTCAATGTAATGTGCTGTTAAACACATATAGCCTTCATGAGTGATTGCATACCACAAATCAGAAGTGAGGCTGACCCTTCCAGGAAGATTAGCTAATTCTCTCTTTAGACTCGCTGCCTCATTCTCATAGAACTTGTAAGCATCAGATGTTGCTGTGTTCCGGCTAATAAATTTAACATCTTCATTCAAATACTTCCAAATTGATCTTACTCTCTCATACTCAACATAAGCAAATGGGAGATCATGTTGAATAATACATTTGGCTATCATTTCACGAAAAACCATATGATCAATCTTCCTAACTTGCAACCTTGCCTCTGAATTGAGCATCATTTTACCAATATCATTATTTCTAGGCTTCAGGTTACACACTATCAAATGAAGCTTGTATGAATTTGTATCGTTTTTGTGTGGATTATATGCATAATCCGACTTACAATGGTTGCACATTGCTCTTTCTTCAGGATTTCCCTTAGCATCTTTCTTAGTAATCACTATAAATTCTTTCCACACTTTTGAATATTGCCTTCTCGGTTTCTTTGATGATGAATTTCCATCATCACCATCATCATCACTATCATCAATGTCGTCATTATCATCAACATCAATCTTAATGGATGACTTTTTACGAGATTTCAATGCTTCAGCTCTATCAAACTGCTTTTTCTTCTTCTGTGGTATATCAGCATCATCATCACAGTCAGTCTTAATGGATGACCGTTTATGTCGTTTAGATTCTTCAGCTCCTTTACGTGGCTTAGAAGTTTTAGCTCCTTTATCTGGCTTAGATGGTTTAGCTCCATCAAACTGCTTTCTCTTCCTCCGTGGTGGTGACTTTTCTTTGTCAACATAATCATCATCATCATCGTCAATCTAAATAGGTGGCATGTTACAACGTTTAGATGTTTGAGCTCCATCAAACGTCTCGTTTTCAGCATTTGCATAATCAACAACTCTCTAAGATTCCAAATCTATTGATCTAAGATCACAAGATTCACGTGACTCCTGCAACAAAACAAAAAATATTACTTTTGTTGTAAACTAGAGAAAATAGAGAGGGAATTGAGATGCTTTATTTATTAGCTTAGACTCCTTTATATAAGGATTGATACAAGTGGTGATAAGTAAACCCTAATACAATAAGGAAAAATTAAGCCTCCTCAACATTGGACGGACCGGGCTTGATATGGGCCGGGACGGACTGGGATTGTTATGACAATCCACTATATGATATATAACACTCCCCCTTGGATGTCATAACTGTTGTGAGCTAGTAATACACTTGGGGATGTTGCCTCATTAAAACCTTACCAGGAAAACCCATTGGGATAAAACCGTGGTGAAGGAAAAAGAGTACAACACGTATTACTCCCCCTCATTTGAAGCTCACTGAAGATCTTTCAACCGATGTATTTCAATTTGATTTATAAGTTTCTTAAACGTTGAGGTTGGAAGCGACTTAGGGAATAGATCCGCCGAATTGTCACATGATTGAACTTGTTCCACTTGGACCTCTCCGGCTTTCTGTAATTCATGAGTGAAGAAGAACTTTGGCAAGATATGCTTTGATATATCCATCTTTAAGTTGAGCTATGCAGGCAGCATTATCTTCATACATTATTGTTGGTGTTGCCTTCCATTCGGTCATCCCACAATCGATCCTAATATGTTGAGTCATGGACCTCAACCAAACACATTCACGGGTGGCCTCATGCATCGCCGAAATTTCAGCATGGTTGGACGATGTGGCTGCAATTGTTTGCTTTTGAGATCGCCAAGATATTGTCGTACCACCGTGTGTGAAAACATAACCAGTTTGTGATCGACCGTTGTGCGGATCCGAGAGATTACCTGCATCAGCAAAACCAACTAATCCCTTTTTCGGTTGGTTAGTATAATATAGACCCAAATCTTTTGTACCTTGTAGGTAACGAAGAATATGTTTAATCTCGTTCCAGTGCCTTTGGGTCGAACATGAGCTAAATCTTGATAATAAATACACGGCAAAACATATATCTGGCATAGTGTGGCTCGCTAGATACATTAGAGCTCTTATGGCACTGAGGTATGGCATTTACGGACTGAATGGATCACTATCCAATCTAAGGCTTCTCACCACCATTGGGCCTGGTCGATGGGCGGGCCTAGTCCTTATTAAATCTCCTTGAGTACTCTTTCATTGGATGCCATTTGATGCACAAGGATTCCGTTATTCACGTACTCAAGTTGTAATCCCAAACATGTCTTAATTATTGCTTAGGTCTTTCATTTCAGATTCTTTCCTTTTATATTCAACTGTTTGGTCGATTACCTAGAGGTTTAAATCATTCATATACACTACTTATGATTACAAATCCTTTTTTTGCAAACCTCTTTATGAAAATACATGGACTGATGGGATCATTTATAACCTTACATACGCCCATTTAGTCTAAGTCCATGAAAGGATTTGTCCAGCCTTATGCAGTGCTGTTCTCGAGAACCTTTATTATTTTTGAGCTCAATACCCTGTAGTAATCTCATATATTATCCAGTGGACTTATATAAATATGCAGGCATTACATCCATTAGCTGCAACTCAATTCTTTATATATATATATAGCCAGACTTAGCAAAAAATTTAAATGTCTTAGTATCCACCACATGGGAGTATATGTCCACATAATATATTCCTGGTCTCTGTGAGAATCCTTGTACAATAAGCCGTGCTTTATATCTCAAGATTTCACCATATTTATTTCTTTTCGTCACAAAGATCCATTTATGTCCAACTGGCTTTATATCGAGAGGTGTCCTTATTATTGGACCAAATACATTCTTCTTCTTTAATGAATTTAACTCCACGTTTATAGCTTACTTCCATTTATTCTAATCTGATCGTTGGGTGCACTTTATTATAAACGTGGGTTCTAGATCCTCTCTTATCAATTTCATTTCAAATTCTACCTTGTATACAAATATATCATCGATGTCGACATCTTTTCGGTTCCATCTTATCCCGGACATAACATAATTGATCGCTATCTCATTATTATCAAGAACTTCATCAGTACCTTGAAGCTTGGCGTCCCAAGCCTCATTGTTAGGTATATGAGGTTTGGTTATGTCTCGGGTAACCACGGTTTTCTCAACCTCGGATTCATTCTTAGCACCGTTTTTTATTTTTCGAGGGTTCTTATCTTTGGAACCTATTGGTCTACCACGTTTCATACGGGCTTTAGACTATTTAGCAACTTGATTGTGTCCTACCTGAACATCAATTCTTATTGGTGCATTTATAGCTGGTATATGTGACTTTGTCACTCTGTTTGGGTCAAAGGAATCTGGCAATTTTATCAGCTAACTTTTGTATTATCTTTTGGACTTCTAAGTCATATTCCATAGTTCGAGGATCTTGCCATGATAAGGATGATTGATTCCATGTAATTTCCTTTACCAGCTAATTATTATTATTCCCCCCCCCCTCATAGTGGGTAATTGGATTCGTCAAAATGACAATTCGCGTACTTGGCCTTGAATAAATCAATCGTGGTCGGCTCAAGCTACTTATTTATTATGGGAGATTCATATCCAACATATATCCCCATCCTCCTCTGAGGACCCATCTTAGTTCTCTGTGGTGGAGCAATTGGTATATATACGGCACATCCAAATGTCTTAAGATGGGATATGTCTGGCTCATGACCCCTTAATAATTGTTTTGGGGAATATGTATGCTCATTATATGGCCTGATGCGAATTAATTCAGCTGCATGTAAAACAACATGTCCCCAAGCTGAGATCGGGAGTTTTGATCTCATTAGCAATGGTCTGGCTATTAGTTGTATTCGTTTTAAAAATAATTCAGCCATACCGTTTTGTGTATGTACATGTGCCACATAATGTTCCACACTTACCCCCATGGACCTACAATAAGCATTAAAAGCTCGGGACGTAAATTCACCAGCATTATCAAGACATATAGTCTTTAAAGGAAAATCTGGAAAGTGTGCTCTTAATCGAATTATTTGAGCAAGTAACCTCGCAAACGCCAAGTTGCGGGTTGATAATAGACATACATGTGGCCATCCTGTGGACGTATTAATTAGTACCATGAAATATCTAAACGTCCCACAAGGTGGGTCTATTGGTCCACAAATGTCACCATGTATTCTTTCCAGAAAATTTATTGTTTCCTTAGTCACTTTGACTGGTGATGGCCTTATTATGAGTTTCCCTTGTGAACATGCTACACACGTGAGATTCTTTGAGATAACTCTTCTTTCTTTTAATGTGTGCCCATACGTATTCATTATTATTTTTGCATCATACTCGACCCGGGATGACCAAGCCGGTCGTGCCATAAAGTGAATCTCTCGGTAAACTCTTTACTTACCGTGGCATTGGCTTCTATCATACTGGCCTTAGCACAGTATATGCATGTTGATATAGCGGGTATAGTCTCTAGGACTTTCTTATGGCCTTGGGCGTTTTCATAAATATAAGGAACTCTTTGTTTCCTTCGCCCTTGGTTTCAACATGAAAACCATTCATTCTTATATCTTTAAAGCTTAATAGGCTCCTCTTTGAGCTAGGTGAATATAACGCATTAGAAATTTCTAAATGCGTACCCTTGGGCAATAATATATGGGTCTGGCCGTAGCCTTCAATTAAGTTAGCCATACCCGCTATGGTACTTATATTGGCGTTTTAAGTGTAAGGTCAATGAAGTATATTTTATCTCTTAAAATCGTGTGGCTTGCCCCACTATCCACCACAAATGTATCCATGTCCTTTTGTATACTTTAAAATAAGAATTATATCTTAAACACTTTTATAAAATTATTCTCATATTAGAGACAAATCCATAGTAATTATTGAGAATACATCCAAAGTAATAAAAATTCAGAGAATTATAAAGCTTGACGTAAAACTTGATGTCGAAAACTTGGTTATTCAAATAAGCTTCTGGTTTCTTCCTAATTATCATAATGCACCTAATGAGCTTCTGGTTTCTTCCTTTTGAAACTCTCTTGATAAAGGTCAATAAAATGTTTGGGAGTCCGAAAATTCTTAGCCCAATGGTTCCCCATCCCACATCTATGGCAAATTGATTTTCCTGTCGGGTTTTGCGGCTTAAAAGATGTACCACGGCCACGGCCTTTACCACCGTGATACATGCGGCCTAGACCTTGCCCATGACCGGAGGAGTGACTACGGCCACGTCCTTGCCATTTAGCACGTCCACGGCCGGATGTATTATTGTCTCTTTGGACGTGGTTAATCTCTTTGGTTTCTTTCTTATCCGATGCAACAACATTGGCTTCAGGGAGTGGAGCTGATCCCGGAGGTCTCATCTCGCTATCTCTCATTAATAATTCATTTTTATGCTCGGCGAGCAATAAACATGAGATCAGACTTGCATATGTTTCAAAGCCTCTTTCACGATATTGTTGTTGTAACAATACGTTACTTGTGTGGAAGGTGGAGAAGGTTTTCTCAAGCATATCCTTCTCACTTATCTCTTCTCCACACAGTTTGAAGATAGAGACTATCTTAAACATGTCTGAATTATATTCATCCACGGACTTAAAGTCCTGGATCCTGAGATTCCTCCAATCATACATGGCCTTTGGTAATAACACCGTACTTTGTTGATCATATCGAGTTTTCTACTCATTCCAAAGGTCCAAGGGATTCTCAATAGTCAGGTACTGATCCTTGAGACTCTCCGCAAGGTGATGGCGAATAATCAATATTGCCTTATATTTATTCATTTCGGGCTCGTCATTCTCATTCATAATACATTCACCGAGCCCTAGAGATTTTAGGATAATCTTAGTATCCATCGCCCATTGTAAATAATTATCTCCAGAGAGATTAAGGGCAGAAAAATCCAAGTTATTGAGTTTCGACATCTGAAAAGACATATGCTCATTATTAGGTTTCATTATATAATTTCATGCTTGATCGATTTTATTTTATAGAAATATTAAGGTGATCATGCATTCATATCCGATTTTCATAATAATCATATATTAGGATTTTATAACTTCATATTAATATAAATAAGCAACAATCCATATGAGAAACAAAGTTATAATCGATTTTAGGGTTATATGAAAAGCAGTCCAAACAACAATCTCATATTGTACGGTTTCGAAATTTCGCATGAAAAAACAGTCTAAACAACAATCACATATTTTAGGGTTTTATAATTTCATGTGAAAAGTACTTCAAACAACAATTTCATATTTTTAGGGTTTTATAAATTCATATGAAAAGTACTTCAAACAACAATCACATGTTCAAGTTTCATGGTTTTAAGATTATAAACATGAAACAATGGTTTTAGGGTTTATGTTGTTTACCTCTTGAACACCTATTGATTACAGAATGGATTTGGACCGGGAGCTAAAGACCTCAATAACTCAAGCAAGATCCAGAATCGCCGTTAACCTCCTTGGAGTAGCAAGAGAACGTCGAGCTTCTTAGGTTTAAGGTTTAGGGGCAATTTTAGCTTTTAGCTTTTAGGGTTTAGAGAATCATGCTGATAACGTATTGTAACCTCGAGAAAATAGAAAGGGAATTGAGATGCTTTATTCATTAGCTTAGACTCCTTTATATAAGGATTGATACAAGTGGTGATAAGGAAAAGATTAAGCCTCCTCAACATTGGACGGACCAGGCTTGATATGGGCCGGGCCGGACTGGGCTTGTTATGAAAATCCACTATATGATTTATAAAAACTTTTAACTTTTATCTTGACTAAATATTCAATTATCTTGAGTCTAGACACTAATTAAGGTGTTGATTAGTTCTCCCGATTTCAGCCACCTAAAGGTTGGTGGCGGGCGATTGCGTTTGCTAGCGTTTGGTACCAATCATAGAAAACGCTCTAAACTGCTTCAGCTCGCTCGAAATCGATGGATTTCAAAAGCTCATCCCCGCAAGTGTTTGCGATTGCGGGCGTTTGCGGTTGGTTAATTAAAAAAAACAATAAATGACAATTTTGATTAAAAAGAAAATATAGCATATATATTCTTACATATCTCCATCGTACGCTCATTGTCTGCAACCCTAAATTTTTAAGAGCTGTTTTTCCTCCATCAAAATTATGGCATCTACCCAAGCTAATGAAAGTCAAGATGCAAACGTAAGTTATATATATATATATATATATCTTTCTTCCATTCATTAGCTCTAACGTATGTTCTCAAAGAATTTGATGACATCATCCTTTGCATGTGTATTTTTCTGAGCTTTTTTGATTGAATATGTGTTTAAACTTGTTTTATGGAATAGAAACTCAACTGGTCAGATGAGATGACCCGTTTATTGTTAGAATTGATAACACTAGAGAAACAAGCTGGAAATTCAAGAAGAAAAAGTTTGAGTGAGAAAGGAAAATAAAACGTTCTTATTGATTTTAAAAAGAAATTTCCAATAACCTTAACGTGGAACAAAATTAAGAACAGACTTGATACTTTAAAGAGGCAATACGAAATCTATCGTAAAATCACGTTTGGGTCGACTGGCCTTGGATTTAATTCGACGACAGGAAGTCTTGATGTCCCTGATCATTGGTGGAAAGATAAAATTAAGGTATGTAACATTTATATAATATTCTCATGTGCTATTGTTAAATTGGTTTGTTGTGTGGGTTGATGAATAACTTATTTAAATCGGTTTCATAAATTGGTGGTCACTATTACATGCTTTATTATAAATTTGATTTATGATCCAACTTTATACTTTATTATGATCGATTTATATTACTGTTCGTTGGTTTAAAAAATAAGAGCTTACGTAATGGAGTAATTTAATAATTTGATCGGTGTTACTATAAGAGTATTATATATAACGATTATAATATGTTTTATATATTTGTGAATATTGTATTTTTATTTATTTTATAATCGCATCTTGAATAAATTTTTGTTTTGTTTTATAAGGCTTATCCTGAAGGTTCGAGGCTTCGGTTGCAACCATTGCGGTTTCTACCACTTCTTGATGTGGTATTCCAAGATGAAACTGTTGTGGTTGAAGAGTCATGGCAACCAAGACGTGGTGTACGCCGTCATACTCCAGTAGTTGACTTAAATGATAATGACTGTACAAACAATAATGGTTAAGAGACAGATCATCTGATGCGTAATCATGATGAACATGGTTCTATGAAAACTCAAGACCCAAATAGGATGTCAAAAATTCCTAGGGAAAGCTCTGCAAATCTAGGCGACGTGGATCTGTCATTTGCATCACAAGAGAGATCTTCCACACACACTCAAGTGAAAAATGTAAGTTGGAACAGAAAGTGTAAACAGAATCCAGTAGACTGACACTCGACCGTATTGCTGCAACTATGGAAGAGCGGAATGATAACCTTGAACATATGACAAATGCAAAGTGTAGAAATCAGTCAACAAATTCAACTGAAGAACGTATGGCTCTTGTTGTCAAATATGTGAGGGCAGTACCTGATCTAGTTCTGATGACAGAGCTTTATTGGGCATCTCTTGATCTTATTTCTTGCTCTCCCAGATGATGAGAAGCTACATTTTTTGAAGCGACAAACCAAGGAGTCTCGTAATGATTTTTTTTTATGCTTAGTTTTGGTTTTGTTGACTTGATATTCTATGCTTTCTTTTTTTTGGTGAGAGATATATTATGCTTTCATGATTCCAACTTAGGTGACAAGAATTTGATTTTTTCAGGAAGGAAGTGACATGGAGTTGAACACAATCAGAGAAATAATAGAAGCAGATGACCAAGTTATTGAAGCAGTAATTTTTATTGACCGTAATCGTTTTTGTGAAATAGAACAGTTGAGAACGGATCCAGAACGTGGACAGCGTATAATGCATCAACTAATGCATGAAAGCGATACAAAATGCCTCCATCTTTTACGTATGAGACAAAGAGTATTTCTTAAGCTCTTAAATACGCTAAAGAATTATGGTCTTAAAGACTCTCATTGGGTAAGATCTAAAGTTGCACTAGGAATGTCGCTCAAGATTTTGGGACATAATCCATTACAAAGAAGTATAGCAGCAGATTTTCAAGTTGCACAGCGGACGATGACAACAAAATTTAATGATGTTCTTAATGCCCTTTGTTGCTTGCATTCAGACATTGTTTCATGGAAAAGAGAAGAGCTTGATGATATACCACCACAAATCAAATATATCAAAAAACGAGCATAATAGGAGGTATTTTCCATATTTTCGAGATTGTGTTGGAGCTATAGATGGTACGCATGTGCGTGTTCGTGTTGGTGGCAATCAAAAGATCACCTACTGGAATCATCATAACTACACATCAATGAAAATTTTGGCAGTGTGTGATTTCAATATAAGGTTTATATACACACGTATTGAAGTCCCGGGACGCGCACACGACTCTAAGATATTGACATATTGTGCACGTCAGGATAATTTTTTTCCATTTCCAAATTCAGAGAAGTATTTTCAAGTGGATTCGGGCTATCCTAATCGGCGGGGGTTTTTGGCTCCATATCGAGGTGAAGCATACCATCCAAATCATTTTGCTGGACGTAGACCAACCAGGTTGAGAGAGACATTTAACAAGAGACATTATTCGCTTTGATCAGTAATTGAAAGAACATTTGGAGTGTGGAAGGGAAAATGGTCTATTTTAGAAGTTTGGGTTCGTTATGATGTGAAAATGCAGGAGAGGATAGTTGCTGCAACTATGGCATTGCATAATTTTATTCGAGATTCTAATGAAGTTGACACAGACTTTAATGCTGCAGAAGAAACCGAGAACTATGATGCTGATCCAGATGGAAACACATCTCCATCTCGTGAAGATAACGTACTCGATCGAAATTATGATCCAACAGCTGATGAATATATGTCGACAGTTAGAGATGACATAGCAAGAGAGATATGGGATGATCCTTAGAGATGTTTTTTCTTGGAATAAATGCATAAATTCATATATTTTGACTAATTATTTAGTAATTTATTTATGATTTAAAGTTATTATTCATATTTATTTTTAATACTTTTTATCATAATAATATAGTTTTGGTTTTATACACTTTTATAATGTATTTATATTTATTTGGTAGTTTTTTTTATTTTAAACCGCTATTGCAATCGCTGGTCTTCCAGTCATAAAACTCCCGCTAAGACACTCAATTTCAAACGATAAACCAGTCGTTCAAAATGCTTTATAACGCTTGAAACCACAACCGCCTGCTTCCACAAACTCCCGTAACCGCAACCGCAACCGCTGCGTTTAAACCAGTCAAGCCTTAGTAACTTACCATTGAAAATTTTGTTTTATGTTAAACGTGGCTGTCTTAAGGTGGTGAAACTGTGATGGGTGATGACTGATATGAGGTGTGATCGATGATGAATGATATGAATGGTGAAGCTTAGAATACTCAAAGTTACTACTCTTCCAAATTGTTTTGAGGGTGAGGCGTAATCAGGTTTTTATGTTTAGGTTAAATGTTAACTTAAACAGGAGATTAGGAGATAAAAAAAACTTCTATCATCTATCAACAGACTAAAAATTTCAAAAAATTTTGCAGCCTAATCCGCAGACCCGCAAACCCGCCTTGGATGTACCCGTTAAATCCGTGTTCTGCATGGA